GTCCCTGTAGGTGTATCAGACTCTGTCCCAAGGGGGGTATTGTAAATATTTTAGATTTACCTTTTTGTGAGAAGCCTAAGAATTTGAATTAATAGCAAGGCTTTTCTTTTGCTTGATGTGTAAGTATGGACTAGTTTTCAGAGGAACAGACTGGAAACCTAGACTTCTGGGTTCTCTGCCCATTTCTGCCACTGGTTTGTTTTGTGGCTTTGGGTGAACTTTGCATGGATATTTTTCTAAGGGCAATCATCAAGGTCTTTGAAAGGCCAATGTAGAGAGTAGAGAAAGTAGGCATTTTCAAGTAGACTGGGAACTTTGTTTCCTTTCAGAGTATACTCACATTTGCACCTGCGCAAGTTCTCCATATGCTGATACTTCAAGTCGATGGCTAAACCATGGAATATTCAAGACCCCTCTGCTGTATAATGGTTTCCCATCCATCAAGTGCCAGTTTCCGTATTCCTAAACATTGCAGATTCTCCCCCTTGTCGAAAGTCAGTTAACCCATACTTCTGTAACATTCCTGTGGGACACTTGTGATCCCCTGAGACAAAAACATCTTTTTTCAGACCCTGAAACGAGGAAAAAAAAGCCTCATTCCCAAGTGGTAAGGGTACCTGCGTGCCATTTTCAAAGGATCCAAAGGAGTCAGGCATTCAACTTCTATTTTAATGGATTATGCTTAGTAAACTCCATTAGGCTCTTTAGAAAATCCCAATCCATGTGACAGATGGTGTGGTATCTCCCTCCTGCTCTGATATTTATGGTGGATCCACACCAGGGATGGGTCTGAACCTTTGCTCTCTTCTTGTATGGTGCATTCTTGAATTTCAAAGGTATTTAGACAAGTTACAGGGACAAACCAGCCATCTAGGCCTCTCATGCACGGGGAATGTGGCTCCTGGCACATCCATACCAAAGAAGTACAGCTGCAAGCTGACTAGTACCAACCCATAAGCATGGGTCCCAAGGCATACACTGACCCATAATTGGAACAGAGAGGGTATCCTTTCTCAGGATTGGCCCAAGGTACCTTTTATCCAGTCATACCAGTGGTTAATGGTGTCAGGGATGAGCCTGCCCCTCTGTATGACATGTGTCTCACTGAACTCAAGGAAACTCATCTGTCAGACTAGGCACAGACCTCTCAGACGAGGAAAACACAGTTGCCTCTTCTAGGCTTTACTTTTTCTTACTTTTGGGTTTCCTTCCTGCGGGCTCCACAGCTAGATCATATGCTGCCTCTCTCCCCATTTCTCAATCACCTAGTAATTTTTTTCTCCCTACCAGTGCCTGTACCCACAGCCCTTACCAAATATTCTCCTCTCCAGGCACTCACCAGGTAACAGGTGTGAAAGTCTCCAGGGTGTCCATTTTGTACTTGAGCCAGTAAATTAAAGTCAGATGGTTCTTTGCATCAGTCAGCTTTTGACAAAGTAGGTCCTTATTTCTCTTTGCCTCATTTTCCCTGTCAGTTGAATTTACGTACGTAATCCTGACAAGAGCCAACATGTGATATGGACTTATATTATGACAAGTCTTTTTCTCTTTAATGTGATGGCCTGGACAACATTGTTCTTTATCAGTTTCTGCCAGTGGTGGGAATTTGAGTTAACATTAAGACATTTTCCTTCATCATCTCTCTTCAGAGATGTGAAACTTGGCAGTTTCTTAGTTTTCAGCGTATAATATTCAAAGGCATCTACCATCCATTTGGACAAAATAATGACCTTATTACTATGTAAAAGCAGGAGGGGTTTTACAGACCGGCATCTAAATTATCACATTTATTGTCATACTAGCCTGACAACACCAGAAAGTAAATGGTTGTATGTTCAGGTAATACATAAAACCCAGCTGTAGCTCACAATAATGCAGAGCCCTAGTCTAACAACATCAAGGGATTTTGCTTTAGCCAGTAAATAAAAGCAAATTTTCAGCTATAAAAGGATAAAAGCATTTGAAAATGTCCCATAGGGCTGTGTTTCCCAGACTTGTTTTCTGGCAGCTACTCTTGGAGCTGAACCAGTGCTTGAAAAACTTCTTCCATTTTTGTAGCAGTGTGCGGAGTTTGTCAGCTGAGGATAGTGACTTGCTGATACTGTGAGTAATGCCCAGAACACAGTTCAGAGAAAGGTGTCAGCAGCAGCAATTATTATCTAAATTTCATCAGCAAACTATTAATCAGAACAAGGAAAGCCGGGTACTTGATTTATTTACATTTGATTTAAAGCACCCTGGCAAATGCTGCATCTAACTTTTATATGTTTTCATACTTCATCTCCAAACTTTCAGATATCAACAACTCTGGAGGCTTTCTGCTGAAAGCTTACTAGGAAAAAAAGTTAATGGAGGAGCTGTATGCTGATTTCAATTACCTTTGTGGAAATCTAAAGGAACTCCATTAACTTAAAAGGTTCATCAGATCAAAATGACCCCTGAAATCTCAGATTTCTTAAGATAACAGCTAGCTTCAAACCAGTGGAGATAAATTGTAAGACACAAAGGAATTGCAAACAAATATTTCTCCATTAAGTACAAACATTTGTTTCAGTTTGATTTTGCTTTTTAAGACTGCACTTGGAGACCTTAATGCCCCTAGTCGAATTGGCTAGCATAACTTGTGGGAAACCTTGAAGATATTTGGTTGAAAGCACATATTATGATACATATGCTCAGAGGTTTTGATCCTGATTGGGGCCCTAATGGGGTAGGCACTGTACAGACACAAAGTAAAAGGCAGAGACCTTGCCTCAAACAACTTACAATAGCAAAGACATTAGAATAGGAAAATGTTTGCATCGGCTTAGTCTGTTTCCAAGGCCTTTGCTTTCCTGGGATTCTACACAGTGTAAATCAGTATGACAATTTACCTAACTAGTTATGAACAAGAACCCATTACAATCCTTTAAAAAAATTGTTTAGTCTGAATCTTGCCATAATACTTTGCTATCTTTTGCCGCTTTTACACCAAGAAACATGTAGAAGGCTAACTTACAAAAAACGAAAAGCAAGCCAACCATTTGTCCTTCACAAGTCTGATGTAGCAGTTGTCATTGCTGCGTTTAAGTATAAAGCGGTCATCATGGACAAGTTTGTTGTTTTTAGTCTTGTGCTCCCTTCCTACCTCCCAACCAATCTGTTCATTAAAAGCATAGGCCAGAATGCACTGATGCTTCAGGACTTTTCAAGAGAAGTATTACATGGTGCATGCAAACATGCTATTAGCACAGAGCAATTAACTCCCCATATCGCACCAAAGTTAATTGCTCCCTGGTGCCACGTTTGAACATGCACCCAGGATCGCAGCATGTTGAGCTGGGTCAGAGCAGCCTCGGGGGGTCAGCCTGCCAGCCCAGGGTTGCTCCAACCTGTCTCAGTGTGTTTTGGAGGGGCTGGCTGGGGCATGAGGGTGCTCTAATTGTTGCACAAACAGTTAGTTTCATGCCCCTGGAGGCTTTTCCAATACACCTCAAGGAGAGAGTCACACTCAGGTTGGATCCATCTCAGTTTATTGTTTGCAAACAAGTTCAACAAGGGAGTTCAATACTCAAAGCCGTGTCGACCCTGAGTCGTGCTCGAGGGTCCACTTTTATAGCTTACATAAACAAAGGGTTTTAGCGTGGCGATACGTGATTGGTTATACCTTTTTTGCAAAGCTTAGTATATTCATAATTCTAAGAGAATTGCAGCCAAATTAATGCCTTTTAGTAACCTTGTATCTTGGTGTAACTTTAGGGCATTGGATAAGGATGATGGTTAATTTATGTGCAGGGCAAGCATTAATCTTTATGTTTTAACAGGAAGCCTTGAGCGTTATCCGGACTATTCT